GGGCCAATTTTTGAAGTTGCTGGCTCCGAGTTTTGCGCATGGCTATCCGTTTACCCAGGTAACCTATCACGGCGTACTCCAGTAGGCTGGCAAACACCATGACGAAACACGTGCCGAGAAACACGTCAATCGATTTGATGTAGCTAATTTTGGGCAACGCGGCGTTCGTGCTGGACATGAGCGTGGTCATTGTGAGCACCGTGGTCACTCCGAGTGCCACCCGGGCCGGCGTGGCGTTCCGGTGCAACCAGAATGACACCCACGATATGATGACGATTAGCGACGCGGGTATGTAGATTTGGATTAGGTAGTAGCCCATGGATCGCACGAATTGTATCTCGCACACTAGTCGCGAGTAGTTGCCTATGGTAACAAAATTATTATTGTATTACTATTACGCAAAATTAATTATAATGTAATTAATTTTTTATTATGTACCAAACTTATTTAAATTTTATGACCTGTTTGCTACTATTAATTTAGCTATAGTTCAAACTGTGATAAAATTTATCTGCAAAGTTAATATTATAAAATCATATGTTACTATAATATTTTGGTTTGTTTAAATTGCGATTGTATAATTTACTTATTCATTTTTATTCTATGTGTATGTAATTTATGTCCAACAATTTATCTTACCTGTGCTGAGCACTTCTAACTTGGTTGATTGTTTATGGCCAACAACTTTGAATTGAGGCAACTCGAGCCCCGGTGCCATACCGATAGAGCCGGGCCCTCTGCCCCATATGTATATTATATCAGCCATTGAATAGCCATCTGTAATAAATGTAAAACATTTTAGATGAGCAAACATTATAACCTTGTTAAAATAAAATAATTTAGTACTTTATTAAGAAATAAACTAATTTTGTAATTATTTATTGGGTTTAATATGAGTCTAATATTTAGCCCGAAAGAGTACTTCACTGCATGTATTGTATGTTTTATAAGTTATAAATTATAACAGTTTTAATAATTTTATTATTTTGTTTGTCTTTTTAATTTAAAAAATATTTTATAATTTATTTTCATAGTTCTTGATATATTTAGAATTAATACGCAATAACATAAAAATGTCTGATCTAGGTTGTTTATCTAAAGTGTTGTTAATTATGGAATAGCAAAACATAATACACTAAATACATTATTTCTTTAATTATATATAATAAATATAATGGTTTAATCAGTAAATGTGGTGATAAACAATCTAGATATATACTCAACGAGTTAGCACCGTGTATTATTTATTTGTCCCATTAGTTTAAGTGCACAAAATTTTTATACACATAAAAGATATCTATCAGTAAATACTCTAACTTTTACTTAAAGTTTTTTTTTGTCTGGATATGAAAATAGTAGTGAAAAAGCAGATAAAAATAAAATTTTTATTTTGTGTTCACCAGAAAAAAATGTAAGAAAATAAATAAAATAAAACTCTAGACTAACTTAGCTTTCTTAAGAAATACATTGTACACTCAGTATAACATACGTTACATTTATACCATAATCATTTTATATACATATAATAAATTATTGTTTAACTAAGACAATAACAATTTAAATAATATTAAATGCTAGATAATTTAAAATACATCTACCTATATTTTAAAACAATTTAGGTAAACATTAATCAAATACAACTGACTATGGTGAAATCACTTTACAATGAATAAGCTTCGTATACACTGGTATGTTGAGTGTAAAACCAAAAGTCACTTCCATTTGTCTATGTTATGTCATTGTGTTTGTCTGTACTGCACAGTACAGTACAGTGTGACTATCCCTACACTGAACGCCCCCTCCATAGGCAACCGCTTTCTCCCGATTTAAAAGGAAAGCACCGAAAAAATCCAATAAACAGTTTCCACTTAAAAGCTTCTCTCTCTCTCTCTCTCT